ATTTAAGTAATACGGTTTCTTCATATAAGATCTTTTGCCTTTTGGAATACGGTTTAGGGTTTTCAACAAATTGATGGGTGTCAAATGGTTCCCCTGGATGGATAATAAATTAATCTGGTTGTATAGACTGTAATCTCAGGATATTGGGCCTGAAAAGGCTCTCACATTTTATTTCTGAAGGATCCAAAGCCTAATAGGGGAAATGACTTGTCTTACCCGGTGAGTAGCAGAGAAGCTTGGTTAGTATGCCTTGTTGGACATCATTTTTCTTTCTGAGATGGAATGCACAGATTGCTACCTATTTCGGTTTCTTAAATGTGAAAGTTAAGAAACTGGCACATTAAGAGCACATACATATTAAAACTGCGGTCCCCATGGCAACTCATGTATAGTTGACCCTCAATACTTTTTTTTTTTTTTTTTTTTTCGGTTTTTTTGGAAGGGGGGCCCCCCGTAACCCCCAGCTGTCGTGGACCACCTTATTTGAACCAGGTTGACTTGGAAAAAACAGAGACCCCCCTGCCTCTGCCTCCCGAGTGCTGGGATTATAGGCGTGTGCCACCATGCCTGGCATCCCTCAATATCTTTTAATACGCATAATTTTAAGTGTCTAGGTAAAATACACAATACAACCACTCAAGCACACCATTTATGTAGCAATACTGAGTGAGAATATGCGCAAATTCAAAGCAGCTGCATTACTTGGCTGTTTTTCATAACAGTATTTAGTCATATCATTTGTAATAGCATTTACTTGAAAAAGATGTTTTGGGGGCTGGAGAGATGGCTCAGCGCTTAAGAACACTGGTGGTTCTTGCAGAAGACCCGGTTTTGAATCCGAGCACCCACATGGCAGCTAACAACTGTCCATAACTCCAGTTCCAGGGGATCTGACAGCCTCTTCTGTCTTCCCCGGGCATTGCACAATGTGGGTGCACTTACCTACTGCAGGCAGTACAGGCATACACATAAAATAAAAATAAGTAAAAATTAAAAAAGAAAAAGATGTTTAAGATTATTTGGCAGTGTAGGGTTTTTTTAAAGTTTGTTTATTAGAAGTTTTTAAAACATATTTAACTTGAGCATGATGGCACACATCTTTAATCCCAGCACTCAGGAGGCAATGGCAGGTGGAGCTCTGTGAGTTCAAGGTTAATTTGGTCTAAATAGGGAATTCCTGGCCATCCAGTGCTACATAGTGAGACACAGCCTCAGAAAACCAAAATCGCTGGATGTGGTGGTGCATACCTTTAATCCCAGTACTAGGGAGGCAGAGGCAGGCAGATCTCTGTGAGATTGAGGCCAGCTTGGTCAGTGTAGTGAGTTTCAGGCCAGCTGGGGCTACAGTGAGACCCTGTCTCAACAACAACAAATCTATATTTAAGCTACTAGAGTTAATAAAAAGGTGTTTAGGAAAACAAGAAGACTCACACAGGTGGATGTGGGCTTCTCAAGAGAGTTGCAGTAATTTAGCTTTGTTTTGGGTTGTCTTTTAAAATTTAGGAGAGCTAGTTATGAGTTCACAAAGAATCTTTCTAGGTATGTTGCCTCAAAATAGACATCAATCTATAAACTACAAATATGTAATTTAAACCTATGGTTACATTTTAAAAAATCTCTTTAAAAAACTCTTTAAAGTTCCTTCTTTAAAGTTAAGACTATACATGGTTATTCCCCCCACTTTGAGACAGTTTTTGATGTACTACAGGCTGACCTCAGATTTCCTATATAGCCAAGGATATCCTTGAACTTCCAGTCCTCCTGCTTCCCTAGTGCTGAGATTATAGGTGTGTGCTGCCATGGTTGGTTTATTCAGTGCTAAAGATCAAACCTAGGGCTTTGTGCGTGTTAGCCAAGCACATCATAACTAAGCTCCATCTCCAATCCTAACAAAGGTTTTTGAATGGCCATTATGGACATGATAACATTCAGTCCAAATTGTTGAAGAGGGGTGCTGACCTTCTGTGACTCAGCAATTTAGAGTCTGATTCAAGATTAAAACTTAAATGGCAATACACAAAAGTTACAGGGACTCCAGCATAATCAGTTCCTCCTGTGACACAGCTTCCAACGTTCCCAGCACCCTACCTCTCCCGCCTTTTTCACCTAAGTTTACCAAAATTTTGAGTTTGTGTAGAGCTGAGTAAGAGCAGCTTTGACACTTGATGCTACAAAGTTCCTTGGACCATACTTTTCTACATTGTGGGTCAAGAAGAGGCAAAGCTGGAAGAATTAAGACTCCCAGTTGCAGCCTGACACGGCCGTGCACGCCCTTGATCCTAGCACAGAGACAGAGGCAGGTAGATCTCTGAGTTTGAGACCAGTCTGGTCTACATAGTGATTTCCAGGCCAACCAGGGCTGCATAGTGAGACCCTGTCTCCAAAAAATGATTCCCAAGTGCAGAGTCTTGAGTTGTGTGAAGAATCCAGATGAATGCAAACACATGCTGCAAAGTTAGTTGCCTTCTTTGTTGGGCTCTGCTCAGCACAATTCAGGAAGTCCTTACTAAGAGATGATCTGGAGAGTCCAGCTCCGTCATGATGTGTTGAAGGTCTGTTCTACAGAAGTAACTTACTTTCTCTTTGTCCAGTTCTACCAAAATTGCAAGTCTTTTTTTGTTTTTTTGTTTCAAAATTGCAAGTCTTTTTTTGTTTTTTGTTTCAAAATTGCAAGTCTTTTTTTGTCTTTTGTTTTGAGTTTAGATCAGTGTCTTTGTGGTTTATAGCACAGATTGTATCCAATGCTTGTGTTCAAATTCTGGCTCTGCCAATTAGTAGCTTTGTGATTTAGGCACAGTGTGACTACTTGATGTGCCTCAGTTTCTTAGCCTACAGCATGGCATAATATACCTCATTAACATTCTCTTGTCATACATAGTCCTACTGAAGTTCAAAGATGGGGTCTAGCTTTATCATACCACATCTTCGTCATCTGGAGCAGCATCTGGAGAAAGGAGTTCTGTGGTGAGGTAGCTGCTTGCTTAGGCAAGCTGTTTAGAGCACTTTAAGCAATGACTATACTTAAAATTGCTGGCTATCAAATGGTCTACTGTCTACTTCTATCCTTCCTAGATCGAGTACAGGGAGCAGGAGGCCAAAACATGAGGGACCGGGGCACAATCCGGCGCCTGAATATGTACAGGCAAAAGGAACGCAGGTGAGCATTGAGCACAGTTGCCTGACTCCTTTCCATACCCTTGATTTAATAACTGAGACCTGATAAGCCTTTGCTCCCACCTCTGCTTTCTCCAAATAGGAGTAGAATATTTTCAAAAAACACTATATGAGTTTTGTTGTGATAATAGAGTAATTTATAGTTCAAGGCATGGGTAGTAGATGATGAAATGGTGATTGTTCCCAATACTTTCCAACAAGTAGAGCTCTTGCTCCTCACAGTGCTGGTTTCCAGCAGTGTCATGTTAAATCTCAGCATTAAAGATCCATCAGCTAGAAATACAAAGCGTATAAGACTAGTTAGGAAAACTGCCAGGAAACTTGATTTTTAGAGCCACACTTCAGGATCACAGCATTGTGGCACTTGGAAGCTCATTACAGCCCTGGGTTCTGCTGAGGTGGCCTCTGCCCGGGGCGTTGCTGAGAGTGGCATTTTGTTGGATGATCTTAATTTGTTTGGTAATTCATTTCTTCATTTCTTCTAAAACTTGTGTCTAAAACACAAACGTCAGTAAATCTAATCTGCCTTAGTCACCTACTTTGCAGTTTGTTTTAGAATTTTGAGTTCCAGGATAAATCCCCCTCCACTTAAAATTCATTTAAACCAGCCTTTAAATAATTACCAAAAAACACAAGTATGTGATTTTTTATATATATATATATATATAAAGCAAATAAACAGTAAATGGATTTTTAAACATCAGCATTGTTACTCATCTTGCAGAAATCATTACGTGGTCTGTTGCAAGAGGTTAAATGGCTTTGGGCAATCTGTTTCAAATGTAGAAGTACTTTTTGTTTACTGAAATCTGTATTTCATGATCATTTTAACACCCCCCCATCCAAAAAAAAAAAGTCCTTTGAATGGAAAGGGTGTTTTCTGAGCCAGACTGTGTTCTGTTGTTTCCTTCTGTCATCAACCCAAATCTGTTATTTCCTTGGTTTAGGAACAGTCGTGGTAAAGTCATTAAGCCCCTGCAGTATCAGTCAACGGTGGCTTCTGGCACAGTGGCACGAGTAGAGCCAAATATTAAATGGTTTGGTGAGTATGGTCCTGTATCTCTGCTCTACAAAATGTTGTATGGAAGACTCGAGTGTTGGAATGTCTAAAAGAAGTTTTGGTGCAGGAGGCTGCTAAGGACTATATAGAAAAGGAATAAGGAGCACCCGTGTGGGGAAGGCGTCAAGAAAAGTGGTGGGCTTTTCCACATAGAAAGTGAGCCCTTGTTGCCTTGTTGAGGCAGATTGAAGACCTTCCATGAACAGCATTCATAGACCTTGAACTGGGCAGCTCCTTGTTTCCAGTTGCCTGGAGAGGCTGCTGTATAAGAAGTGGCCTTGCAGGTGAGCTTGTGCCTTTAGCTTGCAGCAGGATGGGTGTCCTTTGTTGTTGTAGGTGTGAAAAGAGAATCTCCAGTCACAGGAAATTGGGACATCTTCTTTGGGAGCTCTCCCTTTCCTTTTGTGCTGGCTTTTCACCTTTTCCTTAGCCATCAGTAATCTGTACGGTAGTCATGTTGCCTGATATCTGACTCTGTGCAGGTGGCATCTGACTGTGACTGTATTTAATACCTTTTGATGGGGTGCCCCCTAAGAACTGAAACACAGAGTTAAAGAAGAGAGTTGGGTGGAGCTCAATGGGAGAGTGCTTGCCTAGCATGTACAATGTTCCCAGCATTGCAAAAATAAATGTGTGTGTGTGTGTGTGTGTGTGTGTGTGTGTGTGTGTGTGTGTGTATGTCCGTGTGTCAGGAAAGACTGTAGAGGGAGATTTACCATGGTAGCTGGATATTGGGACCCAGGTCCAGAGTACCTGAATTTGGAATCGAGTTCTGTCATTTGTATGTGACTATAGGCAAGTTATTAAGTGTCTGTGCCTTAATTTCCTAATCTCTAAAATGGGAATAAGAATAGTGTTGTTACAAGATGGGTGTGGGGACACACCTATAATCGTAGCACTTGGGAGGTAGAGGCAGGAGGATCAGAAGTTCAAGGGTAACCTGGACTACATGAGACCCTGACAAAAATAAAAAAGGGAATTGCATGTGAGATGACTCCGTAATAAAGGTATGTACCACCTAGCCTGACAACCTGAGTTCATTTCCTGGGATCTGCATGGTGGAAGGAGAGAACCAACTCCTGCAAGTTGTCCTCTGGCCTCCACATATGTGATGGTACCTCCCCTTCCACCACCAATAAAGAAATGTAAGAATTTTTTTTTTTCTTGTCTTTTTGAGACAGGGTCTCCCTGTACCTCCAGCTGACCTGGAACTCACTGAGTAGACCAGGCTGGCCTTGAACTCACAGAGATCTGCCTTCTTCTGCCTCCTGAGTGCTGGGATTAAAGGCATGTGCTACCATGCCCAGCTCATAAGAATTTTTTTAAGTCTGTGTATGGTGCTTAGCATGGTGCCCGACAAATAGTGAGTGCGTGGATACTCAGGTCCTGGCACTGAAGTGCTTATACCTCCTGTGGTGACTGGAATGCCTTCTTCAGGATCTCAGGTTGAGGCATGCTCTGGGTGCTGTTTCAGGGCTGCATTTTGATCCTTCTCATGGATTAATGGTTAGTTTAGTGGTTCCTTTAAACTTTCATAACTTCTTCAGATTGTAACTCCGACTTACTTGCCTTTCTGAGTTTCCGAGTTCCCTCTGTCTTTGTGAACTGATTGCTGTGATTGGCTCCAGGTTTCTCTGCCAGCACTAGCAGGAAGTAGGACATTTGTCAAATCTCAGTTCCATTCAGCGCTGTTTATTTTGGGTTTCATCTAGTCAGAAAATTGGGCTTGGAAAGCTATTGAAATCCATTGTGTGTCTGCTTGGTGAAGGAAGTCCTAGTGTGAGTGCAGCAGAGGCACGTGTTTGGGTTTCCCCCTTTCCTAAGATTGCGAATGGCTATGAGAATGGCTGAAGCTTGGCTGGTTGAAAGTGATGTAGCACCTTGGCCTTCCCCCATGTCAGTGGGAAGGTGGGTGCAGTACTCCTTATTAAATGGCAGCATTCTTCATTTTGTGAAACAGGAAACACACGTGTGATTAAGCAGTCATCATTACAAAAATTTCAAGAGGAAATGGATAAAGTTATGAAGGATCCATACAAAGTTGTTATGAAGCAGAACAAGCTACCAATGTCCCTTCTGCATGATCGAATCCAGCCTCATGTAAGAAATCCCTGGTGGTGGGATTTCATGGGCAGACTCTGCACATACTCTCTCATTTGTCTTTAGCTTTTTAAATTATTATTTTTTATTTTATGTGTATGAATGTATTGCCTGCATGTGTGTAAGTACACCCATGTCATTCAGTGCCCCAGGAAGTCAGAAAAGGGTGTTGGATCCCCTGGAACTGGAGTAATGGATAGTTGTTAGCAGCCATGTGGGTGCTGGGAACTGAATCCAGGTCTTCTGCAAGAGCTCTTAACTGCTGAGCCATCTCTCTAGCCCCTTGTCTTTAGCTTTTATAAGTAGCAGTGAACTTTCTGAGAGTTGGGCTCTCTCTTTTTTGTTGGGGGGGGGTGCTACCTTTAGTGTGAATTGGTTTGGCCAAGGAGGTGTAGCACCATAGTGGGTCCAAATAGGTTTTGCAATAAGACCTGAATTTTCATCTTTGTTCATACCCTCCTCTGGCCTTAGTTAGGTTTCTCTAGGAGCCTTAACTTCCTGTGTAAAGATAACTTCTCTTTTCATGATTGGTTACGGCAAAATGCTTAGTTTAATAAGCACACAGCACCCTGCTCAGTAAGGCTAAATAGATACCTGATCGTGATGTCTTGTGTGGATATGCATGCATGTGGAAATCAGAGGACAGTCTCAGTGTCATCCTTCAGGCATTGTCCACTTTTATTTTTTGAGACAGGGTGGCTCACTGGCCTGGAACTTGCCAAGTAGGCCAGGCTGGCTGTCTAGCAAGCCCTAGGGATCTGAAGTGGTAGTTCATCACACTCTAGGAGACATAGCATGAGGGTTGAGATGGAAGGAGTCCTTCAGTGTTATATAGGTCTCAGTTTGTGAAATCCTTAAGGTTCTTTTCAGCTCAAGGAAAGGGTGCTGTTGAGATTGGTTGTTGGTTGCTGGAGTTTTGAAATACAGTGAAGTCTGAATCTGGCTGGAGTGGAATGAGTTTCACATGGAACAAAGAAGTGGCCTAATGTTTGCCTGCACGTATTTAACTTGCATTAAATAATAATTCCCAGAAACACAGCCAGTATGTAGGATTCAGTTCCAGTCTAAGAAGGGGAGGAAAACATTGACATGCATACAGGGATTAAACAGTTCAAAGAAAAGTGTTTACTTAAGAACAAAATAAAAGGCAACGCTGACTATTGCCTCAGGTTTTGTCAGTTACGTTCTGTTTTATGATGGACTGGAAGAATGGCACCTATTAGTGAAAAGAATGGCACCTATTAGTGGAATGACTGTTTTCTTTGGGGGGGGCACGACACATGAACAGAATTCATGAACCACAAAAAAGTTGCTCATTTCCCTTGTTCTCTTTGTCTCTTCTCCCTAAAGCCATCACCTAAGCAATTATTGAATCCCATTTCTGGGAAGAGCAGAGAGGTTCTATTATGGAGTTAGTGCTTTGTTGCTTGTTCCAGTTGATCATTGCTCCTACAGTTGCTGCTCAGACATCTGCTGCGTAGAATGCAAGACCTGCAGTTGCAGGAGTCAGCATGTGTTTTGATGAAGGAATGTACTTAGATTAGTTGGTGGTTTTCTGCTCTGGCCTTGAAAACCTTTATCCATTTTATCTGATACCTGTGACATATATGAACTCTAGTTCTGAGGTGGTTAGATCAGATACACTTTAACTTCTGCACATTCAGCTCTGTGTGTATTAGAGGTATTTTTGTAACAATACAGTAAAAATAATATAACTTATTTTACATATATACTCATTTTTTTCTTTTTTGGCCTTTTTGAAACAGGGTCTCCCTGTAGCCCCAGCTGGCCTGAACTTACTGTGTAGACCAGGCTAGCCTCAAACTCACAGAGATCCGCCTGCCTCTGCCTCCCAAGTGCTGGGATTAAAGGCATGCACCACCATACCTGACTTACATATGTACTTTAATAAGCATAGTGTAGTAGTATAGTAAGCAAGCTCAGTGGCATTAAAACATGTTTCATAGGTCACAAGTTTTTCAAGGTTAATTTTGCTCATACTAGATTTTTTAGTTAGGCACACACTCATGTGTGTGTGTGTGTGTGAGAGAGAGACAGACAGACAGACAGACAGAGAGAGCGCATGAGCGCTGTGCATGTGCATATGAAGGCCAGAGGACAACATCCAGAAGTTGGTTTTCACCTTCCACCTTGTTGAGGCAGTGTCTCTTGTTCCTGCTCTGCTGTCTATTCCAAGCTAGCTGACCTGCGACCTTTTGAGGAAATTCTGTTTCTGCTTTCCATCTCCCTGGGAATCCAGGTGTGCACCCCTGCATCTGGCTTTTTATGTGGGTTCCAGGGATTATACTCGGGTCTCCAGGTTTGCACAGCTAGTGCCTTTCCCCACTGGGTTATCTTCCCAACCTGGTCATAATTGATTTCTGCTCAGTACTTTAGAGCCTAATGGCCACAGAAAATGTAGTTCTTTTCTTTGGGGATAGCAAAAAGAGCAGTGAGTCTGAGCAAATGATAGGCACTTAAAAGACCTGTGGAAGCTGGAAGAGTATCTATGGGTGCCCGGAAACCAGGAAGGGGGATCAGTGAACGTTCGGGAAGTATGGGGTTGCTCCTTTACCCTGAGTTCCCTAACTAATGCTCACCGAGGGCTTTGTACTGAGGAGGAAAAGGTGTATTTTTTATTTTTATTTTTTATATTTTTATTTTATGCATATGAGTGTATTGTCTGCATGTATATAAGTGCACCCGTGTCATGCAGTGCCGAGGAGGTCAGAAGAGAGCTTTGGATTCCCCTGGAACTGGAGTTAAGGATGGTTCGTAGCCACCATGTGGGTGCTGGGAATCGAACCCGGGTCCTCTGCAAGAGCAGTCAGTGCTCTTAACTGCCGAGCCATCTCTCCAGCCCCCAAAAGATGTGTTTTTTAAAAGGAGCCTGTGCTGACGCTTACCATTCTATCACATGATAGATCCTAACTCAAACTTTGACTTTTATCCTGCTTCAAGAATTCCTATGCCTGTAGCTCCTTCACAGGCACATCAAGTTCTAGTTAGTATCGGCTTCCCTCTATCACATCTAACCTATTATTTTGGACTTTTGCTAGATGTTTTCATCTGAAAAGTTTCCATGTGCATTTAATAAAAATGTTACCTAAATTAGGGAGAATGTTATCTGAAACTAAAATGCATCTTACAAAACAAGCAATTCCTTTTAGCCATGAAAGAAATTAACTTCCAAGAAAAAGTTGGCATTTATAGTTGGTTTAAAAAAAAAAAAAAATTTTGACTGTGATTGTCCTTGACAAAAATCTGTGAATTTGGCAAGTTTTATGCACTTGTTTAAGAGCTCCAAAGAAGGGTCAGAAAAGATAAGTTGATTTTCATCATTGTAGCCCTGATTACAATTGACTGAAGCCTGGTGAGTGAGGTAAAGCAGGGTTTTTGGCGGGTCTCACACAGCTATCCGTATTTGCTGTACTTGTATTACTTTTGGGTTCTGCAGGGAAGCTCACAGCATTTCAGAATAGAAGCGCTCATGCTGTTTAAATAAGATTTTCAAATTTGCAGCCAGACTGAGTTCATGTCCTTGTAGGTTTAGGTGCATACTGAGCTTTGGAAGAAATAAAAGCAGAAGCCTTCCCTGGCCAGGTTTTTAGCTTTTTGCTTTCTCTTGGTCTTCTCCTTTCCTGAGTCCTTACCTGTAATTCTCCTGTCTTTAGAACTCAAAGGTCCACATTCTTGATACTGAAAGTTTTGAAAGTACATTTGGCCCTAAGTCACAGAGAAAGCGGCCAAATTTGTTTGCAAGTGATATGCAGTCCCTTCTAGAAAACGCCGAAATGTCCACTGAGAGCTACGACCAGGACAAGGATCGCAATTTGGTGACTGAGGACACTGGTGTGAGGTATGCTTTTGAGGTTCACACGGGTCTCAGCTTTTGCTCCTGTGCCACCGAATGTTTCTGTTCTGCTGTGTGGGGCATGTGATTATGCTCACAGGTAGAGAGTATGCCAGTTCCCTCAGATCAGAAGCAGTGATGCAGTGGAGGCCAGACCAAAAATGTTAACATGACTTGATCATCTCGTACCTCTCTTCATCCCCAAGAATAAAGAAATATTTTTTTTCCTGGTAATAGTGGTATATTCTATCATCTACAAATTACAAAATGTAGTTAAGTTGGAAAATGCAACAACAACAAAAAGATAACTCCTAATCCTATTATGTAAGTTACGTATTGTTACTGCCTTGATGAGGATTGGCCTCCTGCGATCTCTAGACCCCTAGGGTTTATGTGGCTCATCTTTGAGGTTTCTATGACCTTCTAAAGATTATTTGAAAAATTGATGAGCCTACATAAAGGTTGTGGGTTAATTTGTTTATGTATTTTAAGGATTTATCACACTTTAATTAATTACTTTGTGTGTGAGTGCCATGGTACACATGTGGAGATCAGAGGAGTTGATTTTCTTCTTCCACTATGTGAATTCCAGGAATGTAGCCCTGGTTGTCAGGTTTGGCAGCAAGCACTTCTACCTGCTGACTCATCGCACCAGCCCTACATTTATTTTTAAGTTAGCATATGGTATAATGGGTTTCATGATGGCATTTTCATACATATGTGTCATTATACTTTATGTAGTGAGTTTTGCTTTTCATTTTTACTATTTTGGGAAGGAAGAGGAAAACCAGGAGAGGAAGGATCTTTATTCACATGGGGACACATCAGTTGAGGAGTACAGATCTCTGATATGTGTTCTGCTAGGTCTTTCTTTAAGACAGTCTCCCTGTAGCCCTGGCTGGCCTGGAACTCACTATGTAGACCAGTCTGGCCTTGATCTCACAGAAATCCACCTGCTTCTGCCTCCCAAGCATTGAATTTAAGGCCAGGCGTGGTGGCGCACGCCTTTAATCCCAGCACTCAGGAGGCAGAGGCAGGCAGATCTCTGTGAGTTCAAGGCCAGCCTGGTCTCCATGGTGAATCCAGGACAGCTGGGGCTACAGGGAGACCCTGTCCCAAAAAGACAAAAAAAAAAAAAGTCATGACTTAAATGACTTAAGGTCATTTAACCCTAACAACCCTAACCCTAACTCTAACCCTAACGTTAACCCCAACCCCTAACCCCTAAACCTAACCCTAACCCTACTACCCTAACCATAACTGCCTTTTTATGTTTATTTCATATTTACAAATTAATTCCTTTTCACTGCCTTCAGTTGCCTTTGTAAAAAGATTTTGTTTTTAATTATGTATATATGTCTGTATGGCTGAGCCATTTCTCCAACCCCTAAGAATTTTGTTGTGGCACAGTCTTGCTGTTGGATATTTATATCATTTTTAGGGTTTCTCTGTGGTTATCAATGAAACTAAATCTTCCTTATTTTTAAGGATTCCCCCAAGAGGCAAATCATGATGTCAAAGAGTATGCCGACTTTTGATAGGCAACTGTCGCCTCACCTTGCATGAAGGCTTAGCTTCTCTTGGACAGTGCTGGAGTGCTCCTGTTCTCCCTCACATCTGTTAACTGATGCGCAAGTTTGGCTGTCATGTGGACTAGGGACTACAGTGGTGTTACCTCATTGCTGTTTCCAGCCCAGCTCAAGCTTTGGGCCTCATATAGACAGCAACAGACCATTAGAGACTAGGCAGAAAGAAGCAGCGGGTTCATTTATTCTTGGAATTATTTGAACATTTGTATATATGTTTATGTGTTCATATGGGAGGGTACACGTGCATATACGTACTAATGCATGTGGGGGCCAGATACCGTCTTCATTCGCTCTCTATCTATTTTTTTTGAGACTGTCTCACTGTACCCGGAGCTTGCTAATTGCCTAGACTAACTGGTTTATAAGCCCCAGGGATCCACCTGCCTCTGCCTCTGAGAGCCAGGATTAATGTGTACTTCCATGCTTAGCAATGTCTTTCCTTTTTTTTTTTTTTTTGGTCTTTTTGAGACAGGGTCTCCCTGTAGCCCCAGCAGCTGACCTGGATTCACTATGGAGACCAGGCTGGCCTTGAACTCACAGAGATCTGCCTGCCTCTGCCTCCTGAGTGCTGGGATTTAAAGGTATATGCCACCACGCCCAGCCATGTCTTTCCTTTTTTAAAACCAGATATTACTCTGTTGTATATGCACACCACATCAGGTTGGATGTAGTCACTTTTCAAATTTAGTTTGATACTCTTCCCTTCTGTTGTGGCCACATTGTCAGTCTAGGGTAAGATTGGGTTTGTTTTCTTAGCCAATTAAAGATTTTAAAAGGCGGGCTGTAGAGATGGCTCAGTGGTTAAGAGCAGTGACAGCAGAGGACTCGGGTTTGATTCCCAGCACCCACATGGCAGGTACAAACCGTCCTTAACTCCAGTTCCAGGGGAATCTGAAGTCCCCTTCTGACCTCCACGGCATTGCACGACACGGGTGCACTCACATATATGCAGGCAATATACTTGTACACATAAAATAAAAATAATAAATAAAATATTTTTAAAAAAGAATTTAAAAGGCAGGAAAAAAAAATCTCAGACCACCAGAGAGTGACATGGAAATAAACTTTTATCAAAAGGTGAAGATTCACAGACTTCTACACGTTCACACAGAGAGCAGCTCTCCACAAGTGGGGTGGGGACTCAGCAAATAAACCAAACTGGAGTGCTGGGATTTTAAGGGTTTTAGTGGCCTCTCCCTTAATTTTGGATTAGTCAACTTAAAGAAGAGAAGGCTGGGGCTAGAGAGATGGCTCAGTAGTTAAGAGCACTGGCTACTCTTGCAGAGGACCCAGGTTCAATTCCCAGCACCCACATGGCAGATAACTACCATCCATAACTCCAGTTCCAGGGGAATCCAACATCCTCTTCTGTCCTCTAGCAGGCACTGTACAACATGGGTGCACTTACATGTAGGCAATACAGTCATACGCATAAAAAATAATGAATGAATGAATGAATGAATAAAATAAATAAATAGAGATGGCTGATAGGTTACAGCTCTAAGCTGAGATGTCTATAGTTATGTGACTCTAAGCAGGTCAGTTGAAGGGGCCCTGTTGAAGTTAAAAAATAAGGCCTGCCAGACCAAGAAGCAGCAGGAAATGTGCCATCTTTGTTACCTCTCAGTGACCCTGTTTATATTAGAGATTTAGTTCCTAACACTTTGATATGTTGTTGACTTTTCTCTGAAGCACTTTTTTTGTTTGTTTGTTTGTTGATTATTGAGATGGACTCTCAACTATGTAGCCTTAGCTGGCCTGGAACTTAACTGTGTAGACCAGACTGTCTTAACTCATAGAAATCCGCCTGCCTTGTGTCACCCCACACAGCTTCCTAAAACATCCTTTTAATGTTAATAATGCTTTACCTACTCATTTTGGATCTTTTCTTACCTAGAAATGAAGCCCAAGAAGAGATATATAAAAAGGGACAGTCCAAAAGAATATGGGGAGAGCTCTACAAGGTAAGACTTCATTCTCATTGAGCAGTTCCTTTAACATTCATGAATTTATGGGCAAAGTGACTGATTGATTGCAGCTCTTAGATAAAATACAGACTCCACTGCTTGTTTTTTCCTCTTTTCTCCAGGAACAAACCAGGCCTGGCACAGCCATGCACATGTTACCACTGTTCTTGGCAACTAAGAACACTCATCATATACTGCCTGTCAATCTTTCTGTCAATTACCTATTAAAATGATTGCCCTATATGGGTAGAGCTGCATGAGAAGTTACATGGGAAGGGTTACTCCCTTAACCAGCTTGCCCAATTCCATATATTACCAAGTCCTAACACTACTTTTTTTTTTGGAGACAGGGTTTCTCTGTAGCCCAAGCTGGCCTGGAACTCACAGAGATCCACCTGCCTCTGCCTCCCGAGTGCTTGGACTAAAGGTGCATGCCACCATGCCCAGCCTCTGGGGAAGAATACTATTAGGAAGAAAGACCTACAAGCATAATCACGTAGTTGAATAGACTCATAAGAACCTAATATCATAAAAATAGACTAAGAAGTATATAATTTTTTGTAAAATACACAAAACCTATAAAACCTAGTAGTTGTTAAATCAGATTTTATCTAAGCTAATTTTCCTATTTGAAATTTGACAAGTTTCATGTATTGGGATGAAAACTTTTTAAATTCTGATCAGTGAACACAGACTGAATGCTGCCTACTCTCCTCACCAAACAGTTCTCAGTTGCCTCTAAGTACCATTTGGCTTCCTTAGGTTCTTTAAGTGCCCTCCTTCATCTGGTATGTACTGTAGCCAACCATTTCTGCCTCTTTGAATTTGTAGGTAATAGACTCTTCAGATGTTGTGGTTCAAGTTCTTGATGCCAGAGATCCAATGGGTACCCGTTCCCCTCACATTGAGGCTTACTTGAAAAAGGAAAAGTCCTGGAAGCACCTCATTTTTGTGCTCAACAAATGTGACCTTGTTCCAACTTGGGCAACTGTAAGTTCGTCTCCTAATCTAAAACAGATGAATTTTTTGTTTGTGTGGGCTCTGGGACTCGGGGCTTTTAAGTGTCATGCTCTTGAGATTGCAATCCTTACTGAAAAGAGAGCTAAATGTGTGCACTGATGAAAGACAGAGGCCCCTTCGATCCTCTGGCCAGGTGTTGTGGGGCCGAGCCTCCACAGGCCAAGGATTTCGTGGTCCTTTTGTGGAGGCAGCTGCCCTGTCATTGGCTTGCTCCTCACTGTGCTCCAGTAATTGCATTTAGTAGCCATGAAGACATTTCAGGGATATTGTTTTGCAGTTACTAGACAAAAGACAAAGCACTAACTGTCATACTTGAAAGAACATTTCAAAGAATTATAGCTAACATATTTCCTTAGGCAGCAGTGTATTTAAAACTGTCTAGTAATTCCAACTTGGATTCTTCCGCATATTATAAATAAACAATGCTATAATTTACCAGCATGTTTTCTTCTCTCCCTTTAGAAGCGATGGGTTGCTGTCCTCTCCCAGGACTATCCAACACTTGCTTTCCATGCAAGTCTCACTAACCCCTTTGGCAAAGGAGCGTTTATTCAACTTCTCCGGCAGTTTGGGAAGGTATGGAGGAAGCCTTTGCTACTTCTGTTTGCTTTGTATAGCTGCAAGTTTATATGAGGGTCTTTTTGTCACTGAGTCAGAAGGTTGCCAGCTTCAGGCCAGCATTGGTTGGCCTGGAGCTCACTATGTTGACTAGGTTGATCTCGAACTCACAGAGATCTACCTGCTTCAGCTCTGCCTGAGTGCTGGGATTAAAAGCATGCACCACCACATCTGGCCTATTTATTTCTTGATCCACATCCCTTCCCAGTGGTTTTACATACTCATTAAATATTTCCTACTCTGAAAATTTAGGATTAGGTTGTTTATTTGGGGGTTCGTTTTGTTTGTTGGTTAGTTGGTTGATACCAGCTATTAAACCCAGAGCCTTGTGCATGCTAAGCACATATTATTCCTGAGGTATTATAACCTCAGACAGAATTAGCCTTCCCTTTTTTCCTTTTTCCTTTCTGTTTTTTTGTTGTTGTTTATTATTGCTGTTTTATGGTGGAGGGTTATTTTGTATTGTTATTTTGAAGCTGGGTCCCTCTCTAGTCCAGGCTGGCCTCATTTTCAGTGTGTAGATGAGGCTGGCCTTGAATTTGCAGTGATGTTTCTGCCTCAGCCTCCCAATGCTGGGATTATAGGTCTAAGGTGCCATGTCTAGTATTCTTCCCATTTCTTGATCTTCATACTCTTAATTTTAAAACTAGGGTGATCATGTTGGGTGTGGTGGCACACGCCTTTAGTCCCAGCAGAGACAGACTTCTCTATGTGAGTTCAAAGCCAGCCTGGTCTACATAGCGAGTTCCAGGCCAACTGGGGCTATTAGGGAGACCCTGTCTTAAAAAAAAAAAAAGACAAGGGGCTGGAGAGATGGCTCAGCAGTTAGGAACACTGACTGATCTTGCAGAGGACCCGGGTTCTATTCCCACATGGTGGCTAGGAATCAACCTTAACTCCAGCCCTAGGAGACCCAGCACCCTCTTCTGGCCTCCGTGGCATTGCACAACACAGGTGCACTCACATACATGCAGGCAATACACTTGTACACATAAAATAAAAATAATATAAAAAGAAACTAGGGTGATTGTACATGGGTTAACTGAGGATGTGACTCACTTTTGATGTATAAATATGCACATAGTATCGTGCTTGCCAAGACTGTATGACTGATTTGTATGTAGGCTTCCCATCAAGTGTTAACAGTTTTGTGCTGTATTCTTTTCTGTTAGTAACTCACATAGGCTATTCATGGCTGCGCATATATAATATATATGATGTGTACCTTTTTTTTTTAAATTTTGCACAGTTGCATACAGACAAGAAACAAATCAGTGTTGGGTTTATTGGCTATCCAAATGTTGGCAAGAGCTCTGTGATAAACACGTTGCGTTCCAAGAAAGTTTGCAATGTGGCTCCCATTGCAGGAGAGACAAAGGTAAGACCAGATTACCCCCCCCCCTTTTTTTTTTGAGCAGGTCTTCCTGTAGCCCTAACTGGCAGGGAATGCCCTATGTAGACCAATCTACATGGGCCTCAGTCCGCCTACCTCTGCCTCCCAAGCGCTGGGATTAAAGGCATGCACCACCATGCCTGGCTAGATGCTATTTCTGTGGAGAATGACTGTTTAAGACATGGAGTTCTAGGGTCTGGAGAGATGGCACAGCAGTTAAGAGCACTGACTGCTCTTGCAGAGGACCGCGTTTAATTCCCAGCACCCACATGGCAGCTAACAGCCGTCTGTAACTCCCAATTCCAGAGAATCCCTCTCTTAGCCTCCATTGGCATTGTACGACTCAGGTACACTTACATACATGCATGCAATACACTCATACACATAAAATAATAAAATATTTTTTTTAAAAGGCGTGTCTTCTCCCTCTCTCTAGCAGTATTGGGGATCAAACCCAGGACCTCATATATGTTAGGCAAGTGGTCTGCAGTGAACCTCACACCCAGCCCCTATCTACTTCTCAAGACAGAGTTTCATATGCTACTCTGTGGCTGTGGTGTGATTTGGTTGATGCCATTCATATTTAAGTCTGTTGTAAATTGTCACTCCAACCTTGTGGTTTGATAAACCAACTCCAAAATACTTGATATCTGGGTTAAGAAGGGAAAGTCAAGGATTGGAGAGTTGGTTCAGTAGCTAAGAGCATTGGCTGCTCCTACAGAGGACCCTAATTCCCAGCACTATAGTGGCAGCTAACAACATCCTCTTCTGGCCTCCATGAGCATTGCACACACATGGCACATTTACATACATGCAGGCAAAGCACTCATACACATAATAATAAAAAAAGTTAAAGATGAAGTAAAAGTCTTTAGGTAGATTCATGTATTTGGGGATCAGTGACTATATCACAGAGGGCTTGGGGAACAGCATGTTCTGCTTAGAGGCAAATAAGCTAACAGCTCTGTGTTTCCAAGAGGACTTTCTAAACCCACAGAGGTTCCCTCGTGGTGTTTCACAATACTGAATGGAAACGCTGCCTCTGCGTTTTTCTTGGACTCTTAATGATGGAAACTTTAGTTTGTGTTTGGTGGAAGTGTGTCATGCTTGGCATATGTAGAGGAGAAAGCTGGGACCTAATTGTTCAGCAGGTAGCTTTTCTTCGGTCCCTCCATTCCCTCCTTTCTAGGTTCCTACTGCAACATCCTGGGTTGGTGAAGTTAGACTCCTGGTATTTGACTCAGGCACAACTGAAAATTTTCTGTCTACAGGTCTGGCAATATATTACCTTGATGCGTCGGATATTCCTGATTGACTGCCCAGGAGTGGTTTACCCCTCTGAGGACTCAGAGACAGACATTGTTCTAAAAGGAGTGGTGGGTATTTGGTCTAACAATTCTGTTTTCCTTTTGGGGAGCTCTGGAAACTTGTCACTTCTTGTTCTGAAGGCAGTCTGGGGTCAGCCTTTCCAACCAGACACTAGGTAATGCGGAACAGGATGGCCTCCTTTCTACTCAACCTGCCTCAGGAGCTCAAGGGACTGTTGGGCATATCTGGTCATTGTCATCCCACAACTTTGTGTAGTTTCCACACTATTCCAAAGGGAAGTGGGGCTTGTTTATGTTTAGTGATAATTCATCTTCGTGGGTTTACGGGTTGAGTCAACTTGGAACCCAGTCATTTCCTCGCTTGTTTCTGAATATGACTGAAAACTTTAAATGGTTCCCCTTAATCTTAACCATGCTTCTGGCCATCTACCCTGTGCACATTCCTCCCCTCATTCTAAAACTCTTCTGTTCTTTTTTGTGTTCTGGGATTGGCAGACTTTTTAACCATTTCTGTAAGTGGGTAACAAAGCATTCCAAGTTCAAACTGCTTGTAGAAGCCACACAGTTTGTGGTAAAGTAAGATTAAAGCTGAGTTCTGAGCTCCATGGCTGGGGTCAGCTCTTAGTGGTATGTCTTGCAGCTGCCCACATTTGGCCACCTCAGAGACAAACTCACCAGGCTTGCCTTGTGATACTGAAATTCTTCGAAACAAGGGTATGAAGTTCCCTGCCTCCCCAGGAAAACTGGTAAGCAAGGCATTTCTCTTACTATCTAGGTTCAAGTTGAAAAAATTAAGACTCCGGAAGACCATATTGGTGCTGTCCTTGAAAGAGCAAAGCCAGAATATATCAGTAAGACATACAAGATTGACTCCTGGGAGAATGCTGAGGACTTTCTCGAGAAACTAGCTTTCCGCACTGGGAAGTTACTAAAGGTGAGCCAGTATCTTCAGTGATTGGGCCTGGGAGCCTGTGCCGGCCTTCTGTGTGTGGTGTGGACTTGCCACTGTGTGAGTAGTGGGCTATTTGTCAGCTAGGAGGTGATAAACAACTGGGACAACCGAAACGGCCCTCAAAGCTGGATGCTTTTGTTCTTTAAATTTGAGAATCTATCCTGTCATTTCAGGGTGGAGAGCCCGACTTGCAGACTGTGGGTAAGATGGTTCTCAATGACTGGCAGAGGGGCCGGATCCCTTTCTTTGTCAAGCCGCCCAATGCAGAGCCACCTACAGCCCCACAGGTAAGAATAGGGTGAACCTGGCTCCTGGAAGATGGGTTCAACCAACCCTGATATAACTTGTTTGCCTCCCTCCGTGGAGCAGCTTCTTCATTTTTGGTAGGTAGTTGAGCTGTGTGTCTCATTCCAGAGAGCCACCGCGTGGAATTGTGGAGAAGCAATTGAGACAGATCAGCAAGAAAGCAACTGGGGAATGAGCTTAGAGACCAGCCTTTGAGGCTGGGAGAAAAGGGCTCATTGTCTTACACGTGTGGAGCACAGGTGTTGCCAAAATTTATTTGTTGAAACATTTATTAGCACTAACGATGGGCCAGCTACAGGGAACAGGGAGTGAACAGCCCCTTGCCCTCGAGAACCCTCCAAGCAAGTGGGGAGGCTGAGCAGTCAAGTTGGTGCTTTGAGAAAGAAAGAAGCCTTGGCCTTGGGGCTCTGAGCGGGGATATTGGACAGGAAGCTTCCCTCCTGTCACATATCTCTAACCCTCACAGCACACTGCCCATAGCACTTGGCTTTCCTGTCTCTAGGACCTTTTTCAGAACTTAGAAGATTCTCCTGAAGAGGTAACTTCAGATTTTGCTTCTCTGCTGGTGTGATACAAATCTGTGTAGGTCTGGTTTCTTCTTAGGACCTCTCAGCTGTCATGAAAGGCCTCCATTTGGACATTTTTATCCAGCATTAAAAAGTTAGCATGCACTGAGTATGGATGGCCTCACCTTTAATCCCAGCACTCAGGAGACAGAAGCAGGCAGATCTTTGTGAGATCAAGGCTAGACTGGCCTGCATAGGGAGTTCCAGCCCAGGCTACAGGAAGACCCTCTCGCAAGAAGAAAAACAAAAAACTTAGCATGCCTGGGATGGAATTAATATTAACTGGCTTTCCTTCCTCTTTTTTTTTTTGGTCTTTTTGAGACAGAGTCTCCCTGTAGCCCCAGCTGTCCTGGAACTCACTATGTAGGCCAGGCTGGCCTCAACCTCACAGAGATCTATCTGCCTCTGCCTCCCAAGAGCTGGGATTAAAGGCTTGTGCCACCACACCTAGCTTCCTTCCTCTTCTTTCTAAAACCACAACCAACCAAGCACAGCAGTTCCTCTCTCCCTCTTTTTAAGTGAAATCATTCATTCATTCATTCATTCATTCAGCAACCATATATGGAGGGTGTGCTTTGTGCCTGGCACGCTGGGTACCAGAGGTGCTACAGTGAAGAGCAGGCAGGTCCCTGCCCCACTGCATGTAAATTCTACTCGTGCACATATGTACGTGTGTGTGATTGTTATCAAGTATGTGCCATTTTCTACACCACTCCTGGAGTTCTCTGACTCCAGTGGGTTATCCAGTAAGTCAGGAGGATTCTGACTCCTAGAATTAGTGGAAACCCCACAAAGAGCTAAAGTCCACAACTTGCTCCCACTTAGGCTCCATAGTTTTACCCAGCTAACTACAAATTCAAGATCCTGGAAGTTGATTTGTTAAAACAACAGAACTCAGAAAAGTGCTTTATCTATGATTACCAGTTTATTACAAAGGATGGCGGTCAAGAACAGCCAGATGGAAGCTGTGCCTAGGGCAAGGGTTAGGGTTAGGGTTAGGCGAGGGTTAGGCAAGGGTTAGGTTAGGGTTAGGCAAGGAAGGAAAGAGGCTGGAAAATCTGAGCTTTCCTGGGTGTGCCTCCTTCTTAGCACATCAGTGTCTTTACCAACCTGGAAGAATTTTTCTGTAGGTTTTGTTACATAGACATGATTAATTGAATCAGTGGCCATAGGTGATTCAGCTCCAGCTCCTCTTCCTTCCCCAGAAGTTGGAAGTAGGACTGAAAGACTTAGTCTTTCTGATAACCAGACTTTATCTGAACCCCGCTAGGGTTCCCACCATGAGGAACATTAAGTTAAACTAAAGTGTGTTGGAAAAGGGCTCCTTATGAATAACGAAAATCATCTCTGTCCCTCAGAATTTCTAAGAGTTTTAGGAGCTCTGCCAAAAACTGGGGCAAAGACTAAATACCTATGTTTATTACACTATAGGGAGACAGCGTATAGCCAAGTATATAGTATCAGGAAGCAGAGGGTACTGTGTTGGTGTTGTAAGAGGTAAGGTAAGGTGTTAAAGAGACAGAAAAGGACTTGTGCATGTGGAAGGTCAGGGAAGACCTCAGAGGAAGTGATATTTTAGCAGAGACCTTTAGGACATAAGGCAGAGCCATGCCGTAGTCATGGGAGCAGCACCTAGAGCCCCAAGATGGTGTGTGTCTGATGTGTCCAGAGCCTTAGGAGTCACTGGCCAGGGTATAGTGGGCAAGGGAGGGTAGGGAGAGAAGCACTGAGGGTTTTGAGGTGGTTGTGATTGGTTTAATTACTCAAACGCTATTATGATACCAGCTCCCTGATTTGGGGCGGGGGGAGGCAATAATTTCTTGAGTACCTGAAAGCTAGAAATTGTCTCATTAGAAGAAAATTAATTTTCCAAAAATTTTAATTTTATGTGTGTGTGTGCATGTGTGTTCCATAGCACATGTAGAAGTCAAAGCAAAACTTTCAGGAGTTGATTCTCTCCTGCTTTGTGGATCCTGGGGATAAACTCAGACACACTTGATGGCAAGTGTCTTTACCCATTGAGCCATCTTGCCAGCCCAGAGATGTACAGATTTTTATACAATTTCCTGCCTTTTTTTTTTTTGGATTCCTGGCTTATTTGGCGATTTATCCAGCCCCTTCTTGTGATTTTTTTGTTGTTGTTGTTGGGGGGGGAGTCTTTTTGAGACAGGGTCTCCCTGTAGCCCTAGCCGGCCTGGATTCGCTATGGAGACCAGGCTGGCCTCGAACTCACAGAGATCTGCCTGCCTCTGCCTCCCAAGTGCTGGGATTAAAGGCGTGTGCCACCACATACGGCGTGATTTATTTTTTTAAAATTTTATGCGTATGAGTGTTCTGCCTGCGTGTATGTAAGTGCACCCATCTCATGCAATGCCCATGGAGGCCAGAAGGTTTTGGATCCCCTGGAACTGGAGTAAGTAGTGACGGTTAGCCACCGCATGGTGCTGGGAGTCATGCTGCCCAGGTTCTCTGCAAGTGCAGCCAGAGTTCTTAAGCATTGAGCCATGTCTCCAGTCCCCTACCCAGTCACTCTTGATTGTGGAGTCGCTTAAGTTTTGTGTCTAGGCCGAAGAAATAAAATGATCCATATGAGAAATACTATGGAAAACTTGGCACATGCTATCTGCATTGATACCTAAAACAGGCCATCATCTCAGTGTTCCTGAGCTCAGTGTTAAAACAGTTTATTCTGGCTTCTGCCCCCTTCTGACCTCACAGTCTTCTTTGAAGATGACTCTTTAGCCTGGCTTCCATCTTTCTTGGAGTTGTGTTTTTTATGTGCTTACCTAGCTAGATACCCCTATTCCTGATACTCAAGGAGGTTACTAGCTGATGAACTGGTTTCACTAGGTCAGTACTTTTATAGCTGACTCATCCTTTAGAACTGCAGGTCTGTTCATTTGGTCCTTTGTCGCATTAGCTTATATGCAAAATGCATATTGGATTAGGACAGATTAATGATGCAGCTTGAATGTGAGTGTTTTTTGCTTTTTGCCTTAGACCTGAGACATAGCCTGCTCAGTAGGAGTTGAAGCGTGGGTCTCCTTTCCTGACACCATTTTTCTCCCTGCCCTTACCTCTTCTTGGCCCTCAATAGCTTCCACCTTCCTCATCTTTGGAAGTTGCCACAGAAACAACCCAGAACAATGCAGAAGAGAAAACTATGGAAGCTATAGGTGAAAAGTCAGAATGTGTCACTGAGAATGAACCAGATAGAGACAAGCCCCAGGATGCTAACTCGGAAATGCAGCAGATCCTTGCACGGGTTCGCCAGAACTTTGGCAAAATCAATGTCGGGCCTCAGTTTTCTGGGGATGACCTGGTTCCTGTGGAGATGTCAGACCTGGAAGATCTGGAGAGCTTTTCTGCAGATGAGGAGGAGGAACAAGAGGAGGAACAGCCCCGAGAGAAGGCCGAGGAACAGCCTTACCAGGACTCCTGGGAAGAGCCAGTGGGAAGTGACACCAAAGCCGTGATTAGAGCCCTGGATGAAAAGATTGCCAAATACCAGAAGTTTCTAAATAAAGCCAAAGCTAAAAAGTTCTCAGCCATCAGGTAATGTTTTCTTCATCTCACATGTAGTTTGTTTATTCCTTTTCCCAAAGCTTGCGGTGAATATTGGGTTTGGTTTGGGTTTTTTGTTGTTGTTGTTTTTCAGTACTTGGGTTGGAAACTGGGGCCTGTGCATGCTGTAAGTTTTGTCACATTCAGCACCCTAAGTATGAGGAGCTCGGTTATCTAGTATTTTTGCTCAGGGAGCTGTGCAAACTGCAGGGCATTGGCTGCCTTCCTGACAGTCATGGTGTTTTTCTCCTGAGTGTTTCGGCTCTCCGGGATGACCTATTTGGGGCAGTTGAGAAGAAAGCACAAAGGTTGTAACTTTGCTTTTCTTTTTCAGAATATCCAAGGGCCTAAGTGAAAAGGTTTTCGCAAAGTCTGATGAGCAGAGAAAAACATCTGAAAAAGTAGTAAATGACACGGGCGAAGGTCAGCTTTGTTTTTGTTTTGTTTTTAGAGACAGGGTCTCCCTATAACCCCAGCTATGTGGACCAGGCTGACCTTGATCTCCCAGAGATCCACCTGCCTTTACTGGGATTAAAGGTGTGCATGGCCACACCTGGCTGAAGATCAATTACTTTGAATCATTTGTATCTTTAGAATGATTGGAAACCTAATTTTAATTTCCAGGTCAGCTCTTGTTCTGTCCTCCATACATACTTAACATACTGGCAGAATGCCCTAGTTTCCCACACTGTGTACTATGCAAATTGGATTGCCAACTTTAAATTCTACACATTTTATAAAAAAATACTTTATTATTTTTATTTAATGTGTATGAGTCATTGCCTGCATGCATGTGAGTGCACCTGTGTTGTGCATTGCCATGGAGGTCAGAAGAGGGCTTTGGATTCCTGGAACTGGACAAATTGGATTGCCAACTTTAAATTCTACACATTTTATAAAAAAATACTTTATTATTTTTATTTAATGTGTATGAGTCATTGCCTGCATGCATGTGAGTGCACCTGTGTTGTGCATTGCCATGGAGGTCAGAAGAGGGCTTTGGATTCCCCTGGAACTGGAGTTAAGGACGGTTCGTAGCCTCCATGTGGGTGCTGGGAATCAAACCCGGGTCCTCTGCAAGAACAGTCAGTGCTCTTAACTGCTGAGCCATCTCTCCAGCCCCTAAACTCTATGCATTTTTTAAGATTAAATTGACAGCCTGAGAATCTGGGAGTCTGAGGAGGGTCTACAGATAAGTTGGGGCAGGGGTTCTTTCATCCATTTGTTATTAACAGTTATATGTGACACAAATTAGATCCTGGTGTGACCCTGGCCTCCCATGTCATCCTGTCCCTCTCCTCTTTACTAAGCAGGGCTTGTTCCTACTGTATGAGTCCAAACAAATTGTGAAAATTCCTATTTTTCCCCCTTGTGTTTTATTGATTTTGTATCTAGCACCCACCAAAAAGGGAAGGAAGCGGAAAGCACATAGGGAAGAAGAACCCTCAAATAAAACTCAAAGGATGCTGACATGTAAGGAAGTAAGTGTTCTGGCTCTTAATGAGACACGGGTATAGAAAGTAGAAGTCCAGTTTTGTTACATTTACTTTCTGTGTGTATATGCCTGGGTGATGCAGGTGTGGGCATGGCAGTGTACACCTGGAGGTAAGAGGACAACTTACGGGAATCGCTTCTGTCCTTCCCTCATGTGGATCCTGAGGATTAAACTTAGGCATGGTAGCAAGAACCTTTACCCGCTGAGCTGTCTTTTTTTTCCTGGTTTTTTGAGTCAGGGCCTTCCTATAGCTCCAGCTGGTCTGAAACTATGTAGACCAGGCTGGCCTTGATCACAAAGAATCTGCCTGCCTCTGCTCCTGAGTACTGGGTGCTAGGACTAAAGGTATGCTCTATCATGCCCAGCTTTTTTGTTTTTTGAGGCAAAGTCTTCATCTGGGTATCATCAAACTCCATTGATCTCAACTTCCCAAGACCTGGGATTCTAAGTGTAAACTACCACACCCAGCTAGAAGTCTAGTTCTCAAGACCCAACTCTTTCTGAATCAAATAGTCTAGTGCTGAGTCCTAGGAGCCCCACTTCTCAGTGACCTGGTAGAGGTTGTTTAAATTGGGTCAAGAAATGACCCACTGGATAGAGGTTCTAGAATCCACATCTTATGTTTCAGGAATCCTGGGTAATCATCTTCAAACCTATAACCCATTGGCTGGAAGAGCTGGATAACGGTTTTGTTTGGTACCAGGGAGGTGACACATGAGTAGTGAATCTGGCAAGGCCAGCAGATCACTGATCCCTAGGAGGGACAGCTTTGTAGCAGAGCTGTGCTGAGCTGGAGCCAGCCTTCTGGGGAGAGGAATGAGGGCTGGGCCCAATCAGAATCTGTAACCCGCCATCACTTCTGAAGTGGACAGTCCCCCCAGCTCTGCTTTCATTGCTGTGGTGGCTGCATGGGCATGGAGAGAAGTGGGAATTGGGCTCCTGTTTTGTGACTTTCATGTTTGACTGGTTTTCTTGTCATTTTTTACAGCGGAGGAGAGCAGCACGACAACAACAATCCAGAAAAGTTGGTGTGCGCTATTATGAAACACATAATGTGAAAAATAGAAACAGAAACAAAAAGAAAACCAGTGATTCAGAGGGACAGAAACACAAGCAGAAGAAATTCAGACAGAAGCAGTGACATCTAAAAAGTTGTTTATTAAATTGTACAAAAATATGACATTAAAAATTGTGCCCATTTTCTTCATGGCCAGTTGGCATCTCTAAAGCACAGTCTACTTGGAGCTTTGTTGAAGCCATTTGCCATTGCTAATGAAGGGAGAGCTCCTCAGCCCTAGAGAGCTCCGAATGAGTCCATTGGCACTTCAGATACTTGACCTGGCCCTAGTTCCTCCAGAGTATGACCTGTTGTATATGTCTACAGACATAGGTGAGGACTACAGCACGTAAAGAATGGTGTTTCCTTTGTACTGTTAAGCAGTAGTTTGGGCCAGAATCACTCAAAGCTGTAAAAGAAGTACTTCAGTGATGTACACGGTTAGGCTTGAAAGTATGAACTCCAGCAGCCTCTGTTCTCTCGTGGAGTTTGAGCGGGCCTATTGGGAATGCACTTGCTTTCCTGTGCAAGAATCATGGAACTAGAACATGGCAAGGAAGAGTTCTTTCCCAGGAAGGTGCCCGCACTGCAGGTCACTTTAGCAGAGGCACACGTAATTCCTCAGGAGAGTGGGTGAGGGTCAAAGTCACTTCCAACTTAAGGTCAGAGTGTTAGGCTATGCTCAGCTCAGAATTATCTTACGGATCACAGTCCTTGGAGTGAGCCCTGCGTAACCAGGATGGGTGTCAAATCAAAGCTGCCGAGGGGTGAGTCCCTTCTGGCACCCCTTCAAGGGGTACTGAGTGCTTGAGGCATTGCCACAAAATGGAAACAATGCCTTAAGAATGCTGCGACTTGAGTCTTGACTAAAGGACATCACTTAGCTTGCTGCCCTCTCCCATCCTGGGCTGCCCTAATAAACATTCGGTCACTAATTTAATCTTCTGGGTCTACAAAGTTGTCTTCAGGCCACAGCCAGAGCAGAACTGCATGTGATATGTTGCTACCTCCCTAGCCTTTCGGTAATAGTTAATTAGAAAGTGTGGAGTCAGGTTTGATACTCTGTTGAAGGTAAATAAATGGTGGGGAGAGGACCTGGGATACAGACAGCTCACAAAGGACTCTGGGACTTGGTGTTCTTACTCAGCAAACATTTACTTTGTCCAGATGATGGGTTTGACTTTGCCAGTTTTTTCTTAACCAAGGAAGTCAAACTAAGGAGAAAGGGATCCGTGGGATGTGGGTGGGGATACGAGAGGACAGAATAAACGAAAGCACCAAAATGAGTTGCAGAAATTACACTGAAGAAGGGCTGAAGCCAAAGAAGCCTGAGATACATGCAAACTGTAAATAATTGGTGGACATCAGCAACTTCTACGAGAAAGCACTTGCTTCCTAAATTCCTGAGTTGACAAATTTCCAGGTCAGTCTGTTAGCTGCAGACAGTGACAGGTACAGCACCTTCCATTGCCCAGCCAGGAACATGGCTGCCAGACCTTAGTTGTTTGACAACTCTGGATCAACAGCGTGACATCTGACAATTACATGCATGGTGATCAGGCGAGGGGATAGTTTGTTCACTCAGGAAACTGGCTTTTTATTACAAAGGGCTTTTGGTGGGGCGTGGTGCTTGCTGACCCATATGGAAATTATCACTTTTTTGGTGCAATAATGCCTTCCAGTTGGGCCTGAAAAACAAAAACAAACTACATCAATACTTGCAACTTGTAGCCTAACAACACATAGCTGAGGAGAAGGAATAACCCAAAGGCTGCTGCTCCAAGTGCCCTGCTCATTCCCAGCTCCATATTTTCTAGATTAGCTGGATTCATGGTCTTGTTACATTAGCAGAAACCAAAGCTGTCCTGGTTTCCATACAATAATAGCTCAGTGTATAATATGAAGCATTGAAAGGGAAATTGAATAAAAGTTGTTGAAATAGTGGTTTGTATTGCTCCGACTGCAGGCCTGAATGTGTCTGCTAAGTTAAACATTCAGCTCCTGGGTTAGGATACTGGGAGCTCTGCTGGGACCAGAGGTTTGAGGAACAGCAAATTATCAGCCACTGAGACAACTTGACACCCAATTAGAGAAAATTGCTACCAGCGAGTAGGGAGCTGTCCATCTTGGAAAGAATGCTAGACACTTGGAGTTGTTTGGCTGCAGGAGCAGCCGGCACAGCCTCTTACTACGGTGATACGTGGACAGATCCTTAAGTAGGTCTATCCTGGGATCGGTAAACACTGCTTTATTTGTGGTGCAGCTTTGAGCCAATAAAAATAATACTCTTGTAAAGAATCCTTCACCCTGGGATTACAAGGTTGTCTTTGAATGTTGGAAGGATGCTAAAGTGTTCAGCTTTGCTTGTAGACAATGCCATTAGGGGAACTGAGGAACTCATGATGAGGTCACATGACAGGAAAAGAGCTTTGGAGTCTGCTGAGTCAAAATGCTCACATCTGGATGGGAATGCCTCTTAGTTTTTGTTTCTGGTAAATTTTTCAGCAGCAAGAAAAATCATCCTCTGCTGATGGTTAATACAAAACCTTATCTCAATGGCTTATGTTGGCACATATTGGCTTATGAAGGTGAGGGAAGTGGCCAGGACCTCGGGAGGAAGCAACATAGAAGAGTGATGCTCCAACCTCAGGAGGCCTCAGACCTGAGACTGTTAAGCTGTCCTGCCGGACCCCAGCCCCACAGCTTCTGCTCAGTACACCTAGGGGTGACCAACTTTTTTTTCCTAAAAGTTGTCCTGTGACGGGGTGAAGCCTGTGGTCTGGCCTCCCATTCACCCAGCCTTTGTTACTAGTGCCCCTCTCCCAACACCCCAGGGGAGCCAAAGTAAATCTGAAACTGGGTTCCTCCAGCATGTACCTGGGGGAGGCTTCCCACTGATTCTGCCTTTTCTCTGCTTCTGCCATAGTGCCTCAGAGGACACCAGGGAGGTCAGCCCTCCTGCCAGAGCCTTCTGAGAACTGGTCCACAGAGAATGACTCCAACCACCAGCTTGGAGGGGGCAGAAGCTGCTATATCCTCTGATTATGGGCACCCTTTTTCCAAGACAGAAACAGACTGACAGGCATGTTGGCTCTACAATGGACACCCAGGCTGAGGTTTAGGGGTTTGGAATTGAGAACAGACCTTCACAGCTAGAGGGATAAACTTAGGGAAGGAGCCCCTCAAATCAGCCTCCTTTAGCTCTTGGCAATGTGAGTGGACCAACTTTAAAAGCCTTGGGGCAGGCCTGTAATTGCAGCTGCTCCTGAGGGAGATACAGGAAGATTGCAAGTTCAAAGCCTACAGGGCTACAGGGTCTAGCCTGGGAAACTTAGTCTAGCCTGGGGAACTTAGACACTGTCTCAAAATAATAGGCTATCTTTCAATGGGGCTGGAGAGATCGCTAAGTAGGTAAGAACACTGACTGCTTGGGACCCAGGTTCAATTCCCAGCACCCATTTGGCAGCTAACAACCATCCATAACTCCAGTTTCAGGGGATGTGACACCTGACCTCCACGGGCACATTGCAGACACATGAAGGCAATACACTGATACACATAAAATAAAAATTTTAAAAATTTATCTTAAAAAAAAAAGTAGGCTGTCTTTCTAATTCTGTTCAGTCTAGTCTAAGTATGCTGTCCTCCTCCTCCTGAGGAGGGCACCCTCAGGGCCAGAATTCAGGGTGCCAGGACAACTGCGTGCCCTGAGACTGACAGAAGAGTGTTGAGGCTGGGGCAACATGGTGAGCCCACTCCATTTCTTCTCCGGGTCTGACTGCCCCTGTCTGTCCTGGACACCCTCCTCATGCTCCCTCCCTTTTGCCAGGTGGTTGCTTGTTGACCCTCCATGCCTGATTCAAAGAGGCTTGGCTTTCTCTCTTCCTCCATCTCCCTCTTCTGGGCAGCTGCTGAGATTTACAGCTTGCCTGCTCTGTGGGCGTTTGTTTGTTTTTACTCTAATAAAACTGTCCTCAAACTTAAAAAGAAGAAAATTTTTTAAAAGAGCTGGAGGTGGTAGCACAGGCCTGCAGTCCCAGGACTGCAAAGGCTGAGGGATAAAGACTGTAAGTTTGAGGCCAGTCTATGCCACATGAGACCCTGTCTCAAAAGTCAAACAACAAAAGTGACAAAGAGTGCTGAGGATATAGTTTTGGGTAGAATGTTTGCCTAGCATTCACGGGGTTCAATCCATAGTATTGCAAAAAACAACACACAAATGAAGTCAAGGGTAGAAGGAGTCTGTAAGTCTGGTGCCTGTGGAGGGGGCGCCTTGGCTGTGTGCCCGTGACCTGCGCCTCTACCTTTAGCTGCTGGTTGGTGCGCTTCAGGAACTGAATCTCCTCATTGTGCTTCTTCTCCTCTACCTGCCGTCTCTCACTCTCCCGCTTCTCTGTGGCCTCGCACTTTGCCTTCTGTTCGTTCACTTGCCTCTCCAAATCTCTCTTTTCTGTCTCCAGATCTGCAATCTGAGAAGGAAACGACCATCATCCTGGGACAACCCAAGGTGAGAGCCTGGGTGGGGAGAGCCTTGGACACAGCTGTCCAACCTAAGACATTGGCAGGGTATGTACTGCCACCCAGTGGGAGGCCAGTGACTGGCACTGTCCTCAGACAAGATCACTTCCCCACTGAGGTGGTGCACTGAGGTACCACTGTGAATGAGGAGGGCACCTTTGAGGTGCCAAGACAATTGCACGCCTTGAGATTGACAAAGGAGCCTCAAGATCAGGGTGACATGGTGAACCCCACTCACTCTTCTCTCCATGTCTGACTTCCCCTGTTCGGCCTGCAGTGCCTTCCTCATGCCAAAAGCCACACTGCTCTCATACAGGGTCTGGTAGGCAGCGATTGTCATACGGATCTCGTCCCGGACTCGCAGCAGCAGCAGCCCCCTCTCTGCACAGTTGATAGTGACCTCCCGGATCAGCTCATCTTCCAGTGCACCCAGAAAGATCAAAGGCAGGTGTGAGGAGACATGCACTTTGTCTGTGGCAAACCATTCCTCCTCTTGGGGGAAAGCTTGGAGTGTGTTCTCAATGACATGGTCCCATGGGGCTGGGGAAATGGCTTAGTTAGTAAAAGGATTTCCAGCACTCTCATGTAAAAAGCCAGGCGTGGTGGCAGGTGCCTGGCCTAACACTAGGGATGGGGAGACAGGAGGATCCCTGGACTCCCTGACCAGCTAGTCTTGCTAAATTGGTGAGCTCCAGGTTCAGTGAGAGACCCTATCTCCAAAAAAAAAAGGTGGAAAGCCAGGTATGACGGTACACACCTTTAATCTCTTGAGAGGCAGAGGCAGGTGGATCTCTTATGAATTTGACACCAGCCTGGTCTACATAGTCAGTTCCAGGCTAGCCAAGACTACACAATGAGACTCTGTCTCAAAAATATAAATAAAAAATAAGGTGGGGAGCAACACTTGACACTGACTCTGACCTCAATACGTGTTGCACACATACAACACACATAAAGAGACATGCTTTCCAAAAGGTCCTATGAAAGGGTGCTTATCATGGCCCAGTGGGCCTGGACACACAACCACTCCTCTGAACCTGACACTTGGGAGAAGCATGCAGTCAGCAAGCCTGGCCACGGAGAGGGAGACTACAGCCCCAGGTTTGTAGCAGTGGGTCCCTTCTCAGACTGAAAATGTGTATACAAAGGCGATCTGGCCTTCCCAGATGGTAGTGTTTTAAAGGTTTAAAAAAAAATACACACACACACACACACACACACACACACACATATGTATATTGGTGTTTTTGAGACAGGGTCTCCCTATAGCCACAGCTGGCTTGGAACTCGATGCCAGGCTGGCCTTGATCTCACAGAGATCCACCTGCCTCTGCCTCCCTAGTGCTGGGATTAAAGGCATGCACCATCACACCTGGCTTAAAAATATATTTTATTATTGTATGTGTGTGTATTGCCTACATGTATGTAAGTATGCCATGTGCAGGTAGTACCCATAGAGGCCTGAAGAGGGTGATATCACCTGGAACTGGAGTTACAGGCAGTTGTGAGCTGCCACTTGGGTGCTGGGAACCAAAGCCAGGTCCTCTGTAACAGCAGCAAATGCTCTTAACTGCTGAACCATCTCTCTAGCCCCAATAATGGTATTTTAAAGCAGCCCCTTTGGCTAGACTGGTTTGGGGCTGGGAACAGCATCCCTCCCTCTGTAAGCACCCACCTAGAGGACAAACCACACTCATACTAAGGCTAGCCTGCTGACCCTGCAGCTGCCTGAGAGTTTGGAGGGAGTTTGCAGTTCAGAGTCTGCAGGACCACCAAGACCACCAAGAGGACAGCCATTGATACCAGCATTCAGTAGACATCTTAAACCCCTTGTGTCAGTCCACCACCAACAGAGTCTACCAGGTTTTTCTGGATTTGTCTGGAGCACAGAGTGTTGAAGGATGGATATAAAAGCAGAACATTAATTTTCTGTTTAAAATATTAGCACACTGAGCTGGAGAGATGGCTCAGCAGTTAACAGCACTTGCTGCTCTTGCAGAGGATCTGGGTTCGGTTCCCAGTACCCATGAGATGGCTAACATCAGTAGCTCCAGTTCCAGGGGATCCATTGCCCTCTTCTGGCCTCCTTGGATATAGCACTCACTTGGCACACTTAAATCCATGCAGACAAAACATTCATATACATAAAATAAAGATAAATTTTAAAAATTAAAACATTAGCACATGCTTATTATGGAAATCTTGGGAAAAAACAAGGATTTTAAAATGGAAGCTCTGCCAGGCATGGTGATGCACACCTTCAGTCCCAGGACTCGGAAGGCAGAGACAGGTGGATCTCTGTGAATTTGAGACCTGTCTACAGGTCTACAGAGCTACATAGAGACCTGTCTCAAAAGGCCAAAAATTAATTAAAATTAAATAAAATGGAAGTTCTTTTCATACTTCAAACATCTATTAAGGGTGCAAGTGAGATGGCTCAATGGGTAAAGGCACTTGCTGCCAAGCATGATGACCTGAGTTCAGTCTCTAGGACTCACATGGTGGAAGGAGAGCCAACTACCATAAGTTGCTCTCTAACCTCCACATACATGCTGTGGGATATGTGTGGCCATATACACACACACAAAGTAAATCTAAAAAATAAATAAAACCCAAACACTTAAGAAATGAGGAATCCAAGCTGGGTGTGGTGGCGCACACCTGTATTCCCAGCACTTGGGAGGCAGAGGCAGGAGGATCTCTGAGTTCGAGGCCAGCCTGGTCTACATAGTGAGTTCCAAGACAGCTGCCTACAGGGAGACCCTGCTTCAAAAAGAAAAAAAGAACAAAAAGAAAGGAGGAATCCAGGTGGCCATGAATACAGTACTAACAGATGGAGGACTGGCTGAGGTGATGAGGCTGGGGTGGGGAAGGGATTGTACTCAGTAGTTTGGGGGAAGTCAGGCAAAAGAAGAGATGATTCCAGAATTGGGTGGGTTTCAGTTTGGCTTGGTTCTATAATAGAGGGAAGGAAGGCACCAGAGGGTGTGCAGTGCTCACCCCAACCATCAAGCGTGCTCACCAAAACACTGCGAGTAGAGTTCCCTGCGGACAGGGCAGATGCCCGTCTCTCTGGCTTGCCGCTGCTGCAGCTTCAGGTCCAGCTGCTCCTGGAGGTGCACCACATCCATCCTGGTGCTGGGCGTGCTGGACACCTGCTGGATCCATAGCTGTGTGTCTTCCACCCACTCCCTGCAGCATAGACACAAGTCATGGGATATGAGCAGAGGGACCTTGAATCAGGAGAGTATGGAGATTCTCAAAGGAGTGGGTCTGCATGGGCTGCCCATAACGAACTTCTGCAGTGACAGAACTTGAGGGCAGAATGGCAGGGGAAGGCAGACTTCTGTGCTATTGGTGGGATGGAATCAGCTGAGAAGTCACACCTCCTCCCTGATCTCTGTCTCAAAGACCACTGTTTCTCAGCACTTCTTTTATTCTAAGAGAAATCTTTATTACTTTGGGTATAAAAAAAATGTCAGTTAGGTGGAGGGTTATCCTTTGTTTTGGGGCTTTGTAGTCCAAGCTGGCCTCAAACTTATCCTCCTGCCTCTACCTCCCGAAGTGCTGGAATTAAAGGTGAGCTCCACTGAGTCTTGCTTTATCAGACATTTTGTTTTGTTTGAGACATGACCTTGCTGTGCAGTCCTAGCCCACCTTAACTTTGAGGCAGTCCACCTGCTTCAGGCTCATAACTGCTGGGATTTATAGTCAGTCTCACCACATAGGGCTACAAACACGTTTTCGAGCCCATAACATATAGCTGGCATCTAAAACCATGAGGGGGTTAGAGGGATGGCTCAGCAGTTAAGAGCACTGGCTGCTCTTGCAGAGGACTCCAGCACCCAGATGGTGGCTCACAACCATCTGTAACTCCAATTCCAGGGGATCTCACTTCTAGCCTCTGTGGCCATTGCACTACATAGGTGCACTTACATGCAAGCAAAGCACTCATACACATAAAATAAAAATAAATAAAAAAATATTTTAAGCCATGAGACTGGCTGACAACAGAGTTTAAAAGTGGATTTTGGAGAGATGGTTCAGCGGTTAAGAGCACTAACTGTTATTGCAGAAGACCCCAGGTTTGAATCCCAGCACCCACATGGCAGCTAACAACTGTCTAAAACTCCAGTTCCAGGGGATCCAACGGCCTCTTCTGTCCTCTGCCAGCATTGCATGACATGGGTGCACTTTCCTACATGCAGGCACTACATGCATACACATAAAATAAAAATAAATAAATAAAAAAAATTTTTTTAAAGTGGATTTTGGGCCAGGCATGGTGGCGGGTGACACAGGCCTGTAGTCCCAGCACTTGGGAGGTAGAGGCAGGGGGAGCTCTGTGGGGTCAAAGGCTGCCTGGTCTACATAGTGAGTTCCAGGACAGCTGGAGCTAGGAGACCCTGTCTCCGGGGTGGGGAGGGGGGGGGGGGAATT